CTCAGTCCCCGCCGTGCGCGGCAATTCCAGAGGCTTATACGCAATGGGAAGCTTACACTTCTTTGCCTTCTCCTCACAGTAATTGTTTTGCGCGGAAATCTGGGAGCCGGAAAATTTGGCACGCCGGAGAAGGACCTGGATGATATCCGGGAAACGTTTTCTTACATTCGCCGCCGGTCGGAGCCCCGCCGAGTGCTGGAAGAGGCAGAGACTGTTCAAAAATCCAGTTCGTCAAGTGATAGTACTGAAAATGGGAGTAATAATTATGCAGAATTTGATATAAGAAAGATCCTGAAGGATGAAGATGATGGTGTTGAAGAATTTAAGCGGGATCCTTCGCAGCCGTACAGCCTTGGCCCGAAGATTTCAGATTGGGATCAGCAAAGAGGTGGGTGGTTGAAAAATAACCCGAACTTTCCGAATTTTATTGCGCCTAATAAGCCTCGAGTTTTGTTGGTTACTGGATCATCTCCGAAGCCGTGTGAGAATCCTGTGGGGGATCATTACTTGTTGAAGTCTATAAAGAATAAGATTGATTATTGTAGGCTACATGGTCTTGAGATTTTTTATAATATGGCTTTGCTTGATGCGGAAATGGCGGGGTTCTGGGCCAAACTACCATTGATTAGGAAGCTGTTGTTGTCGCATCCGGAAGTGGAATTCTTGTGGTGGATGGATAGTGATGCTATGTTCACAGATATGGTGTTTGAGGTGCCGTGGGAGAGGTATAAAGACCACAATTTTGTGATGCATGGATGGAATGAGATGGTTTACGATCAAAAGAACTGGATTGGATTGAATACGGGAAGTTTCTTGTTGAGGAATTGCCAATGGTCTTTAGATATTCTTGATACTTGGGCACCAATGGGGCCGAAAGGCAGGATTAGGGAGGAAGCTGGGAAACTCTTGACTCGGGAGCTAAAGGATCGGCCAGTTTTCGAAGCTGATGATCAATCTGCTATGGTGTACATATTGGCAACACAGAAGGATAAGTGGGGTGATAAGGTTTATCTCGAGAATGCATATTATTTGCACGGTTATTGGGGCATTTTGGTTGACCGGTATGAGGAGATGATTGAGAATTATCATCCTGGCCTCGGCGATCATCGGTGGCCACTTGTGACTCACTTTGTGGGTTGCAAGCCTTGTGGGAAGTTCGGTGATTATCCAGTTGAGAGGTGCTTGAAGCAGATGGATCGCGCATTTAACATGGGGGATAATCAGATTCTGCAGATGTACGGGTTCACCCATAAAACAATTGCTAGTAGGAGAGTGAAGAGAACTAGGAATGAAACAAGCAATCCCCTTGAAGTGCAAGACGAGCATGGGTTGCTTCACCCTTCATTTAAAGCGGTGAAGGTAT